GGGCTTCCCCGGCAGCCGCCGCCTCTGCCAGGCCGCGGCCTCCGCGGGGCCGAGGCCGTGGGTGGAAGAAGCGGTGCGAGCCCAACTGCCTGTGCCCGGCTTGATGCAGCACAGGCAGCATCAGGGTTTATGCCCGTAGCTGGGCTGGGTCTGAAAGCAGCGAGGCAGGGGGAGTAGGAAGGGTGTGGAAATAGTGTGTGAAACTCGGGTTTGGCTCCGAGAAGGAGAGGGGGGACGGGTGGTGAGGAGCTGGTGAGGGAGGCAGCAAGTGGGGACACGATACAAACTGTGAGTGTCAAAAGGCCGGGAAAATAGGGACTTTTGAGCACCACGTTGCTGGAAAACAGCTAATTTTTGAGCAGAAAAAGGGGGTAAAATCCGGAATTTTGAGCACCAAGTTGCTGGACAATTAGGGAATTTTGAGAACCAAGTTGCTCGAAAGCAGCTAATTTTGAGCTCAAGTTGGCGGCAAAATAGCGAGGATTGACCCCCAAAATGCTGGGAAGCAGCGACGTTTGAGCTCAAGTTGGTGGCAAAGGCAAAATAGCGAGGATTGACCCCCGAGTTGCTGGGAAGCAGCGACATTTGAGCTCAGAGTGGCGCTGCCGGAGGTTGGGGCAGGGTGTCCCTGCCTCTTGGTTTGCTGTCCGCGCCAGCCGTTGGGCACCCAGCCCCGGAGGTGCCCCCTGAGACCTGCCCTCGTGTCAGCAGGGTCACGGGGAAGTCACCGTGTGGGACACTACGCTGCCATGGAAACAGGACACCATGGAACAGGCCGGAGTGGCAACCAACACGGCTGGCACTGGTGTCTCCTCACAGGCAAAGGGAGAGCCGTGGCTGTTGATGTCTCCCAGCTCCCCCGTTCAGGTTTGCAGGGATCTGAAGGCAGAACTCAAAAATTGAAATTTTTTAGCATCAGTGTGCCGAGACCAAAGTCCCAGCAGGCAGAAGATGGGGAAGCTCAACACTGGGCATTTCTGAGAGATCCCAAGAGCTCAGCCTCAGTGGATTGCTAAGACATGACATCAACAGCATCCTGACAGACAGGAATGTTGAAGATGTTTGTGACTATCATGGACCTCTCTGACAAAAAGTCTGCGTCAGTGGCCAAGCCAGGAGAGTTTCTCACAGCCATGTCACCTCAAGAAGTGGACTTGGATCACAGGCCAGGATCAGAAAATGTTCCTGCTAATGGGAATCACCACAGCCAGCCAAAATGCAGTGTGACTAGTGACAACCTGCTGCTGGATGGACACAACATGATGGGTGTCAGAAGCAAAGGCAGTGACAGCAGATCTATCTGTGTTGGCAAGACCTCCAAAGCCCTGATCTTCCTCATGAGCAATAAGGAAGTCTATGGAGGAGTCCTCAACAAAAATGCCCGTGATATGATTGTGGGCATGTAAGTGTGAAGTGAGTAGTGCCAAGGAGAGAGACATCTTCAGCCTGAGCAAAGGGGCGCAGTTGTTGCTGCAGCAGAGAATGGAAACAAACTTTCCAGTCTTGTTCAATATCTTAATTATTGATCTAGATGAAGGGACTGAGTGCTTCCTAAATAAGTTTGCAGATTACACTAATCTGGGAGGAAGTGTCAATTTGCGGGAGGGTCGGAAGGCTCTGCAGAGAGACCTGGACAGGCTGGATCAATGGGGTGGCCAATTGTAGGAGGTTCAACAAGGCCAAGTGCCGGGTCCTGCACTTTGGTCACAACAACCCCATGCAAAGCTACAGGCTTGGGGATGAGTGGTTGGAAAGCTCCATGGTGGAGAACGACTTGGGGGTGCTGGTTGACAGCCAACTGAACAAGAGCCAGCAGTGTGCCCAGGTGGCCAAGAAGGCCAATGGCATCCTGGCCTGCATCAGGAATCTTGTGCCCAGTGGCAGCAGAGGTGATCCTGCCCTTGTACTCGGCACTGGTGGGGCCGCACCTCGAGTACTGTGTTCAGTTCTGGGCCCCTCACTACAAGAAAGACATGGAGGTGCTGGAGTGTGTCCAGAGAAGAGCTACCAAACTGTTGAAAGGTCTGGAGAATAAGTCCTGTGAGGAGAGGCTGAGGGAACTGGGATTGTTTAGTTTGAGGAGGAGGAGGAGGCTGAGGGGAGACCTCATTGCTCTCTACAACTACCTGAAAGGAGGTTGTAGGGAGGTGGGAGGTGGCCTCTTCTCCCAAGTGAATAACAACAGAGGACCTGAGGAAATGGCCTGAAGCTGTGCTGGGGGAGGTTTATACTGGATATTAGAAAAAAATTCTTTACCAAAAGAGTGGTTGGACACTGGAAGAGGCTGCCCAGGGAGGTGGTGGAGTCACCATCCCTGGAAGTGTTTAAAAGAAATACAGATGTGGTGCTTAGGGACATGATTTAAGCACTGACTGTGTAGATTAGGTTATGGTTGGTGGATTTAGGTTATGGTTGGATATTATGATCTTCAACGTCCTTTCCAATCAGGATGATTCTGTGATTTTGAATTTGCCCCTGGAATAAGCCAGTTCATTCTGGAGATTTACTATTGATCAGCAGTGCCTTGTCCTGCTGTTGGATTGTGTGGGAGGCAGGTGCAGAGATAGTCTGCCACCTGCTCACCTTCCACATCACTTGAAACCCCTTCTTATACTACTTTACTGAGCAAATTTGGTTTCTTAAGAGATGAGTTACCTGTCTTGTGGTAGTGGCATGGGGATCTTCTGGAGGTTGCTTCCTTTCCGTCCTGCTCAGTCACACTGTCTGGTCTCAAAATCATGAGAGTCCCTGTAAGCCCCCATCCCTGGAGCAACCTGTCCTCCATACCCCTGGGAGGCCACATTGCACCAGCTAAATCATAAGTTCTAAACTGCTGGTTCAATCAGATCTCCCCCAACACCTTCAAATGATTCACCCAGTGAGTCAAAAATAATTACTTGTGTTGGCTTTTAATGCTGCCACGGACACGAGGAGATCCAGCCCTGCTGAGCAGACTGAGAGCACTTGTGTGCTCTCTCTTAATCTTCCAATTTAACATGAAGTCAATATTTATAAATGTAGTTGAATTCACACAGAGATCTTTTAATCTGCAAGTACACCCACAGCAGCAGAAAAATGCTATAAACAGAACCAGACATCTAATGTATTAGTAAATGGTTAACAAAATTGCAATGACTGTCTAATTAGTAAGCATTGTTTGATAAGCTGTGCTTACAAGCATGAATCAAAACAAGTTAACTAATTTAAAGGGAAAAAAACCCACAAAACCACAAACAGTCTTTAAAATCTAGCAATAATAGTGATGCATCAAATGAAATAAATAAATGAGGGAGGAAAAAGTTAATATTTATGCTGGCCACAATTTTTTCAAAAAGCAAAGGCATTCCTAATGAACATTTCTTCTTATGTTTGCAAGCTTAAGGCAAAAATGAGTAACCATCTTCTGCCATTTCTTGAGCACTGGCAGTATTCTCCACTATGCAAATCACAACATGCAGAAAGCTTTTGCCCTCTGAACTTCAGTCTAAGAGGAATCAAAATGATGGGATATGGAATAAGAGAAAATAATTCTGGATGTTTTACTGCTTGCTCTCTTCTTCACAGGGTGCCACAAAAACACAGGTCTGGAGAATATATATACTTTACCAGCATGAATTTGGAGAAGTATGGACCTATGTAGCATGAAGGTGTTGTGAGTAACTACAGCTCCTCCTTAGTTTTGGTCAGCACAATGGTGTACAAAACCAGTTATCTTTCAGTTTGAAGGATTTATTAACTAAATTAAGAAATAATTAGCCTTTGCTAGTGATTGCGTATTAATTTAGAAACAAAATTATTTCTAAATCCAAGAAGGACCTTTAGGGAATTTTTGTTCCCTAAATCTACTGACCTGGAGTCCAAGAAGATTTTGTTCATACCAGCCATGAAAAGCAGCTGTTAACATTCAGCCCTGATTCTTGAACACTACAGCGTGAAGGAATTTAAAGAGGAATAACAGATAGTGGAAGCATCTGCATCCATCCTCTCCTGCTGTGGTAAAAGGAACATAGAAATAGCTGCAGAGCGGGTGGTTGAGGCTTAACATTTCAGGTCTAAGACTGCAGCCCTTGAGAAAAGCCCTTTTCACACCAGGCTCTTGTCAAAAAGCCTCCAGGAAAGATCTTGACCAGCAAGTTTCTTTATTCCTCCATCCCAGGCACACCTGTGCTTACCTGGGAGCCACCTTCTGCTATAAAGCCATGTGAATAGAGCCATTTAGACCAAATGGAGGTACTGCTTTTGTTACAATCCAGAGCCTCTTGTGCAACAGGATTGTTTGCCAGAGCAGGCACAGTAAACCTTCACTCAACAGGAAATTACCCTGTTTTCAAGAGCTTATAATTTCATCAAACTTCAGGACAGTGATGCTGAAGTTCTCTGCACAAAGTCTTTGCCACAGGCTGCTTAAAATGCATCTGTTCAGATGGAGGGTTTACCATGTCAATGCCAAAGCAAACTGGGGCCAGGCTCTCTCAGTCATGAAAGCAAGTTATGCTGGAGTATGATGAAAAAAAGTGTGGTGTCAGCTCAGAAGCATCCATGTGACAAATTTTCAGGTGGAACAAATTCTGTGGAAAAGCTAATGGCATATGTGCATTCACATGCAGTGGAAATGGGAGATAATTCTTCTGGAGGCAAACTTAGACTCTCCTGTAGCAGCAGCTCAATCAAAGCTCTAAGAAAGGTGAATGAAGAGGAAAAAGTTGAAGAATTTTACTTGTGTCAACTAAAAAAGAGAAGTGACTGGGGAGCTTGTAGATCTTCAGATATATGCACAGTGCTGCAGTTAGGGTTGATCATTACAAAAATTCCCCATGACAAAGACAGCAAAATGCTGGCCTAGATTAGGTGATAGGGTATTATGACAGAGCTAAATGTAGGCTGGACTTATCTCACCAAAGGAATAGGGGTTAAATTAGGGGATAAGTGCCCACACCAAGGATATGCCAGTTACTGTTCCAGTGACTCTATGATAATTCAGCAAAAGGTGGGGAGGAGAGGATGGCATGGCTGAAACCTATGCTGGTTTCAATAAGATATGATAAAAATTGAATTCCAGCACCACTCCCCCGCCTTAAGTCCTCCTTCCAAACTTGGAACAAACAATAAATTCAAAAGATTCCTTCTTAGATAGGAGGATAAAAACATTACTGTTTCCTCTTATAATCTTCAAGGACACCAGAGTTCAGTGAGTCATGCACTTAAAATGAGTTCAGTGAAATTTATGTAGGGAGAAA